GAGGGGGTAGACGTGGGCTGCCTCAAAGGGGCGGCCAGGCACTTGTTCCTGCTGCTGCGTCACTGGGACGAGAACATCAAGCTGAACATGCTGTGCTACAACCCCAACAACATGTGATGCCTGGAGGAGGGGGCCAATAAAGATGTCTGGCTCCAGGCTGCCTGTGCTCATCTCTCTGTTGCGGGCAGGGAGCCATCTGCCCTGTTCTGACCATGCTGGGGCTCACCAGAGCCCTGGAGAAGGTCACCCCCTTCCCAGTCACCTCTCCCGGGCAGGAACAGAAAAGGGACTAGGAAAAGCCGTGCTGGAGGGACCAGGCCACAGCGGGTAGCCCTCGGTTGCATCAAGGTAGCTCAAACCTTAAGGCAAGTGCTTTTGCAGATCCTCTGTCCTAACTTCACTCCAGAGGCTGCTGCCCTGCTGCAGGCAGGGCTCTCCAAAGGCTGAGAAGGCAGCTCCCAGGGCCCAGGCAGCTGCTCTGCCTCCCCAGGGACAGGGCAGGCAGGAAGAGACAACTGTCCTGGCACAGCCACAGCACGAGGACACTGCAGCCAGGGAAGGGCATGCGCAGCCCCTTTATTGGAGAAGTCCTGCCCATCGGGGCATTGCTGGGAAGTCCCCAAACTGCCCCCTTCAAGCAGTTCCAGGGCTCATGGCCCTCCTGGGAAGGCCAAGGGCAGCCTAGGAGCCGGGTGGGGAAAGGTGAGGCAGAAGGGGCAGTCCCAGGCCCAGTTCCCATTGTCCAGCCCGCTGGGCTCTCACTGTGCCTTCTTGGAGAGCGGTGTGGGCCTCCTGCCAGGCTGGGGGTTGTGTGGGGCCGGCAGGGGGGCCGTGCCGTACCAGAGCTGGAGCAGGACGAGGCCATGGCAGATGTGCAAAGAGAGGGAGCTGCAGACTGTGGAGGGGTAGGTGTTCCAGCAGAGCTCGATCACACCCAGCAGCAGCACCCTGCAGTGGGAAAAGCTAGAGGTGAGCCTGGGGGAGGCACAGCAGTCCCCTGAGCAGAGCGCCACGGCCTGCTGACGCTCTCATTCCCAGAGCCCGTGGCAGACAGGTGCCCCGACCCCTGCCAGCACATACTTGGGCATGTGGGCGAGCTTGGCGGTAGGGGTGCACCAGAGCAGGTAGGGCAGCGTGTGGAAGTACCACACGTAAAACTGGTAGTGCAAGGAGCGGCTGCAGCAGACGCCCAGGAAGTTGGAGGAGAAGAGGATGAAGACAATCTGTGCGCAGGCATTAAGGCAACAAACCCACAAGGCTGGAGGTGTGAATCCTGCAACGACCCCCTAGCCCTGCAGAACAGCTCCCCACACCAGGTTGGTCGGGCAGCCCTGGGCTGCCCACTCTGGGGTGCTGCTGAGCCCTGGATCAGGCTGGGTCTCCACAGGGCTGGGAGCCCCAGGATGCTGAGCCCAAGGTCTGCCCTGCCCTGCCCTGCTTTCTCCCCACCCTGCCGAAGGATATTGTTGACGGTCAAGGGATGGGATGGGTGTTTTCTTTCGGCAGGATCCTTTAGCAGAGCCAGGATGCTCTCTCTGGACCTGATGGGGAAGCACAAACATTGATCTCAGCTGGCAACAGTCTTTCCCACCCCGACTTTCCCCTGTAAGACATGACCCCCTGAAATGGACAGTAACTCCCCCGCGCTCCTGTCTGCAACCCCAAAGCTGCAGCATCCTGGGGGCAGGGGCAGCCACTGGCCCATAAACTGCATCACAGGGGCTGATGGTGGGACCAGCTGATTGGGACCAGCACCAGCAGTGAATCCTGGCTCTTACCTGTGCCACCGATGGAGGGCAAAGAGCCCCAGGCCAGCCAGGTGAGCCAGGAGCAGTGTGGTATGGAAAGCGCGATGTTGGAAAACCTCTTCTGGGAGGAAGCGCCAGTTCACCGTCCATTTGAACTGGAACTGGCGACCCAGGTCGAAGGAGCGGGTGAGGTACCCCACGGGGTTCACCAGCAGGAAGGGCAGCCCCAGAATTACCTGCCAAATACACAGTTGCACTCTCACAGCAGCTGCACGGCAGGCCCCATCACCCTCCCAGACCCTCAGCACTGCGAGGAGGGACCGGGACAGGCAGCCGAAGACAGCAGCTTCAGGGATTAGCTTATTTAGCAATGCCCAGTTTGCTTTGCTGGGCCAGTTCAGATGCTAGTGCTGCAGCATACCCGGACGGGGATTTCCAGGCCTCAGGACAGCCGGGCAGCAACCTCCGATGATGCCAGGGTGGGCAGTGAGGTTCCCCCGGGCCACGTGCTGCCAGGCAGTGGGGTCCCTCTGTCACTGGGGGTGCCAGCCCACCCCTGGAGCTGCAGGGAGTCAGGACTGGGGCAGGGACCCACCTGGAGCAGGGCACAGATGCAGAGCTTGGGGATGCAGCCCAGGAGACCGAAACGTTTGAGGAGGAGGAATAGAAGTCCAGGAGCGAAGAGCAGGACGTTCATCTTCACTGACACGGCTAGGCTGGGCGGGAAGGAGAGTTACGGCTGCGACCTCCTGCAGGGGTGCCCAGACACCCCCAGTCCTCAGCACAGCCTCCTCCACGAGCCTGAGCCCCCACACGCACCCCTCCACAGACAGGGGTCCCCATCCTGCCCCGGCAGGGCACACACCACCCGACTGCACTGGCCCGGCAGCTGCTGGGAGAACGGACCTCAGTGAGATGCACTGAGGGGCCAAACCGAGGAACAAACCCTCCCGGCTGCACCGAGAGCATCGTGGGCTAGGGGAGCAACGATGCTGCGTTCCTGCAGCACGAGCCCAGGCAGATCCTCACCTGAAGATGAGGCAGCCCCAAGACCAGCGCTCCTCCAGGAAGAGGTTGACGGCGAGGAAGAGGATGGCCATGGCGACGGTGTCGTTAAAGAGCCGCAGGACAAAGATGGAGTGGATGCGGTAAGAGGCGCAGCACATGAAGAAGAAAACATACGGGGGCACCTTGCAGGGGACAGAGACAGCTGGGCAATCAGCAGCCTGTCCTGGAGCCA